TTCCTATGATTAAGTTTTTATTATGTTAACTATTGAAGTTAGTTAAGCTTGATCAGATACCTTTTGATTACTACAGATTTATTAATCATTGACTTTATAATCATTTGATCACATACAGTGTCATAAATTGAAACAGTTCTAGAATTGAGTTCTACAGTATTACTATGTTATTTTACAATGGATTATGACCGGTTGAGCCGCCGGTCATTTCTATGGAACGCCAAGCGCGTCTGTCAGTGAATGTAGAAGAAAGTAGTATGGAAACAACAGAAATTAAAATTAAAAAACAAAATCTAAATCTGAAATAGAAGCAGAAATTACCGAATAAACAAAAATCCAATTTCAAAATTGGTACAATACCATCCAAAAAATACAAGTTTGTTCAATGACCTTTGATCTTTAGTTGTGTTTGTGTGTTATTTGATGGTTATGATCATTCATGCGTGAGATAGCGAATTGTATATTTTGGCAGCAACCACTGCCAACCATCCATTGTGAAATAAAAAGTGCCCTCTATAGTTTATATTGTTGTTATTCGACACGATACGTGGTCACTAGCCTAGAGCTGGCCCACTTTAGCGCCAGCGGGGGACCCGCGGGTGCGGCGCGCTCGCCCGCCCCCGGGTGCGACAACTTGACATGACCTTAGGCTAGTGGTCATATGTCGTGTCGAACAACAACACAAGAGTAAATTATAGAAGGCGTACTTGATGACGTCATTATTGGTTGGTTGGCGGTGGTAATTATACAATTCAGTCTGATACACAGGCGATGTGTACGTCATTAAATGCTGGTATAATTAGCGCCCCCCTATATATCACATGATATAAGTATGCATTTATATCAGTTGTTAATTTGCATATTACGTAATACCACGTGGTGTTGTGTATATAAGGGGCTACCAAATACCACCCGCTCTCGCTATCACTTCTGAAGTTGTGATTCAACAACTACGTCATCATTACGTCACAGGATATTACGTCATTATATGCTAATTAGTGTCAAAGGTCACGTATTCGGTAAGCGTAATTGGTTGGTAGTCCATCCATTTGCAAAATATATTTTAAAGTCAGGCTCCGGAGGAAAAAAAATTTATGATATGTTGTAGAACTGATTTTTCTAAGACAGAAGAAAGAAAAACTGAGCAACGGTGAATGAGATACAAATTTTTGAATATTTAAAAACTGGGGGGGAAAAAATAGGTGGTTACGCCCCTTTTTCCCCAGTTTTTAAATATTAAAAAATCTGTAGCTCGTTCACCGTTCCCCAGTTTTTCGTCAAACAACTTTTTTCTGTCTTGAAAAAATCAGTTCTACAACATATCAAAACATTTTTTTCCTCCGGAGTCTGACTTTAAGAACAAGTTTAAAAAAAGCACATTTTTGGTCCCACTGGGTAGTTATTTTTCCATTAAATTTCTAGCAAAGATTTATAAACATATTAGTAAACTATTCGATTTTAACCCTGGTGTTTGTTTGACATTTTTTTTATCTGTGATGAAGAGGTAAAAATAGTATGTTTTATATATACTGCAGAAACAAAGGTCATGCTCACATCATATCTAATTATTTGAAAGAAAAAAAACTCCAAGTACAGTTCGGAAATACTTGACTAGTGCCCAGCTGTACTTGGAGTGTTTGAAATATCAGAAGGCAATCTGCAGAAATCGTAAGGTCGCAGGGGATCATAAAAAACCTGGCTAAACAACTGACTAAGGTCCTTGCTATTCAAAGGCAGAAGAAAAAAGCTCAAATAAATGGTAAGAGTTGGGATTCAATTCATTTACTTAACATTACCACACAGTCTATAGTGTGCCTTCAGGGCTTTGTTAGGATACACCGAAAAGCGAATTACCTAAATATATTGTATACAGGTGTGTTATTTTGAGGATTACAAAAACAATACCAAATTAATGTGTACTATTTAAATTGAACTTTTTATTGGATGCACAAGATATTAATAATTGTTAGGGTGCAGGCTATATTATGGTATAGATTAAAATATAAAATAAATAAATATAAATTTTTGTGACTATTGTATTTGTTTTGATACAAGAAGGAGAATAAACTGTCTCCACTTAATAAAGGATACATTGTATTGATATGACTATTTTGCACTTTCAGATTGTATTTATACCAAGTAACACAACCACTAGGCATACTAATGTCCATTGTAAGGATGGAAACATTCTGGCTCAGATTTGAATTATTTTTTTCCGTATTTTTGTGACTACTGTAGTTGTTTTGATACAAGGAGAAGAATAAACTGTCTATTTTGCACTCGGAAAGAGTCTCTGTCCACTTAATATAGGGTTTGACTGCAGCATAAGATATATTTCCGCCTGTTTCAGGGAAAAGTGTCCCCTTGATCAGGGTGTCCCCTGAACTGTTGTTCAAAAGGAGGTGATTCTATTACACTTACAGTGTTCTTGCAATTTCATTCAGAATATTTTTCCCATGAAAATTCTGTGTAATTACAACATTTATTAGCTACAAGTATTTATTAACAGTTTATTGCATAATCCTTTTTAGATGAAATTATCACAGGTATTGAAGAGAACGAATTCACACAGCAACAACGATGGCAAATGCAATAAAAGGTAATATTGATATTAAATTGAAGGAGTAGGGGAGGACAAAGCCTGACTTGATGGCTTTGACAAGGGTGGAGAAATGGAGTGGAAAATATATGAGAGGGGTGTCCATTCCTGTTGTTTGGAAAATAAGAATAAAAAATTAGCATGTCAAAAACTAGTTAAAGTTAAATATTTATATATTTTTACTCTCCAGTTTAGTTAACATTTTCCAAAACTAGAAAAATCAGATATCCGAGTTTTCTAGAACTAGAAATTATTATTTTCCCTATTATTTTTATATTTGCATGAGGAAGAAGAGAATTCTTTACCCTCTCTTCTGTAATTCAACATAATTTATTCCCAGGTCGCAGGGAAGTTTGATAAAATTGTATATAGTCAAACCCTTCAGAAAAGAAGAATGAAAGGCACCGAGCAGGAGTTCATAATAGGCATGGTCAGTGAAGGTCTACAAGCAAACGAACCTGACAATACAAACCTCGAAGAAAGTAATGGAATGCTACTTGAACGATAAAAATCAGAAATTATGGAGAAACTTCTATCGTTACCAGTGACTCAAAGAATTGTAATGACAAACATGATACGAAAAAATACACATCTAAAACAGTTCAGTTTACATATTATTATATATACTATTATTATAATATATATATATATATATATATATATTTGAAAAAAAGGCAGAGTTATAGTTACTGTTTAATTCATGAATTCAGAATAGTACTAATATTATTATTTAATTAGCTTATAATATTTTCAATGGTAGGCAACAGTTATACTGTACATTTTCAGAGAAAATTCCTAGAAAAAACTTTCATCTTAAGATTAATAAGAAATGGTTTTTTTTTTGCACAATATACTTGTTAAAACGTTAAATTAAATAAATAAATAATTGTAATTACTTTGAAAGTTGCATGTATTTTACATGTTAATTTAAGTTTTACATTTCAGGTTGTGTGATACTCATGCTAACAGCATACCAATGATTGTACAGATGAAGTATAACCACAATCATCCTATTGATGGTGCTACAGGTAAGTGCATAGTTTTATTTTAGTTAAAAAATGATGAAAGCAAAATAATTCAGCAAATATTGATATTATGATTCAATAATACCTCTTGCTGATCTTTATCATATACAAACAATTACATTTATTATTTATTTTCAATGTGGAAATTTAATCTATAATTCATTTATGTTATAAGCTTTTCCTTGCGTGTCATAATTTTTTATGTGCTTTTTAAAATATTTCCTAAATGATGTTGTGTGCTTTTATGAATTTTACTTTTATATTTTTATAGTTTGACAAATATTGTAAATTGCAGTAAAGATTGTTTGAGCATAGTTCATAGTTTTTTCACTTTACCCGTATTTTCTTTCATACTTACAACCTGTCTCTCTTTTCCTTTACTTCCCTGTAACTTCTTTCTATCTATATGCCTATATGCATGTGACTAGCTGACTTTTTGCCATATTTACACCTGTAAATACCATGCTACCTTAACTTTGAATGAGGCCATTTCAACTGATGTCAGTCAATGCTTTGCCAGCATATGCCCGGAATTTGACTGACTGCCTTTTAAATGTTCAATATAAGCTCAAGCTAAAAATCCTTTCTGTGACTCAGTATATAATCTTTATAGGAGCTAGAGAATGGAAACAATGCCAAAGCATACAGCTTTAGCTTTTACTGGGTCTGCAAATTTCATTGGTACACTAAGGCACGATTGACAAATTATTCCAAACGACAAATCTGCGTCAGACGCGTTTTCTATTGTTATACCAAACGCGTCTGAAAACACTGTTTGGATAGGGCACCGTTTGGACGCTGATATTCCGTTTGCACTTTGCTCCTCCCCTTTTAATACGGCCGAGTGCATGCATCGTAAAACGCGTAAAGACGCTCCCTTGGCATCTTCAACTTACTAAAGTAAACTTACTATAAATAATAAAAGATAAATAAGATATAAATACATGATAAATACACAATAAATAATAACAATAATAATAATAATAAATTAATATACGAATTAATAATAACAATAGTAATAAATATACAAATCACTAATAATAATAATAATAATGATATGCTAATAATAAAAAATATACGAATTACTGTAATAATAATAATAATAATAAATATACGAATATTTTGCATCTTTTATACTAAAAGACTCATTTCGCCACGACAGCTTACAAATGAAACGAAATGCTTGTAGGCCTATAGATTTTGATATAACTTACTAAAGTAAACTTACGATAAATAATAATAATAATAATAATAAGAATAATAACATAGGAACATTTTGCATCTTTTGTACTAAGAGTAAGACTCATTTTGCCACGACAACTCACAAATGAAACGCAATGCTTGTATAAAATAATATAACTTAAAAGTAGGCTTACGATAAACCGCCGTGTTGTCCAGCAGAGTGCCAATGGTTCGATCTACAAATTCCTGGATGCTGTCATCGGGGTTGGAAGTCTGGTTATTTTTCGCTCCTTTTCTGGGTTTCTTTGGGGGTGGCTGTGGTGGTTCATCACCGTCATCTTCCATGTCACCTGTTTGGTCTACAAGCTTCTCGGCAGATTGCAATTCTGATGTGTCTAATTTACTATCTGTTTCAAAATAAACAAATAATTATTGATATGAATATAGGCCTAGTAATAAAATAATAATAATAATAATAATAATAATAATAATAATAAATACCTTTATAATAATAACAAAAAACTTACCAAGTCCACCATTCTTCCAAAACTGTTCATCCAATGCGATCAACTCGGCAGGATCATCAGAAAGACCTAAGATGCGGCACTCCAACTTCTTTCCATCACACACAATATCAACTATGTTATCAATCACAACATCACCATGCAGTTTCTTCGATTTAACTACGGCAATACTTTCTTCGAAATCAAAATAGACTAGTGCTTCTTTTGGAGTGCGATGACGGCGAGACATTACAGTAACTTTAGTAAACAGCAGTAGTATCAGTATCAAAACGATCTGGGATATGATGGATGTTTAATTTCAAACCAGTTTATATAACTAATTTTAGCATCAGTTCCCATTGTTGCAGGGCTTTCAGCTAAACGCCCCACTCGCCTACCGATGCACAAAAGGAATAGCATCACTATAGGCCCACTGGGTGAAAGAACGCCGTAAAACAATGAAGAAAGCGCTTTTATATTTAAGGCAATTAGCGGCCGGTACACAAATGAATTTTAAACTTACTATAGCCTTCTATAATGCTGTGTGGTTAAACTAATCAAATAAATAAATAAACAAAACTTTTTCGGTGACATCCACCTATAGTTCTTATAAACCACGAATTTGTACCTAAACATCATTCTTCCGAGAGCTGACTTAAGATTACTTTGAAATGCTGCAACCTGACTTATACGTCCAAATTGGCTTCAGGTAGTTACTTGCACAAAAAGAAACCAAAACCTGTATCATCTCGAGCCGCTGGTAGACCATCAGTTGTATCTGAGTTGATGTCGCGAAGAATTTTGTAGAAAATAACGGATTCGAAGCACACTGTCGAAGGCAAACCACTACGGGGCTCTGTGGAACTGGCTTAAAGCACCTTCGTGAACATCTGCTGGAAGAAGTTGACGGATTGAAAGAGAAACATCCGACATTTGGTAAGTGTGCACACATGATACACCATTTCATATGGATACTCCGTATTAAATCACATACTAAGGGACTTAACAGAGATCTAGGCTTTGCTAGTGGCTATACTTTCACGAATAACTAATTACGCCCAGCATTGTCTTATTGTTATTTCATTGTTATTTACT